TCCGGGCCTTAGGATTTTCATTGGTAAAATAAAATTTAAAAACCATGATAAGTTTCTAAGGTCCACAGTAGATCTAAATTTTATGATTCTTTAATATTGTGATTAGTTATGGGTAAGTGTTTGAGTTGACACAAGGTAGGCACCTTATAACCCAGATGATCTAGAGCTTAGAAGCATATGGAAACTGTCCATAAAGAGGTGAAACTGAAAACATGGAAAGGAAGAAAGGCATAAGATAATTCCATAAAGAAAGTAAGGAACAAAGCCTATGGACTGGAGTGGGGGAGAGAGTGAGTGAGTGAGTGAGTGAGTGAGTGAGTGAGTGAGCGAATGTGTGGACATGCACGGGTATGTGTGTGTATGTGAGGGGCAGTCCAAGCATGCAGGAGCCTTGGGGGCAGGTGGTTTGGGCTCTCTTGGCCAAAGAGCCCCTGCCACTGCCACAGGCATTCCCTGGGCCCCAGAACAGCTCTGGTTCAGAAACCATGCCATCATAAAAGTTTTACAAGGTCCTTCTTGGAAGGAGGCTAAAGGGAGTGGCAGTGGCTAGGCACCCAGCCTCGCCACCCCCAGACTAGCCGTGGCCTGGGCCTAAACCCATGGGCACCCTGCCCTAGGCCCCGTGCACATGTGCCCCAAGACACAGCCCAGACCCTGTGCACGCCCGCCACAGACACCACCGGGACCAAGCAGCTAAGTGAACACCAGCAGGACCCGTGCACCTGCAGTTGACACCTACAGGACCAGCTCTGTGGAGGAAGGCAGTACAGCTCAGAATAGAGATAATTAAGGTGTGAGACTCAAGGCAGACCCAGCCTCTGGGCTAAGGAGTCCCTGCCAGCTGGACTACTAGGGGCTTCAACCTCTCAGACCTCAATCAGGTTGCCCAGGACCAGAAAGAGACAGTGACTCACATTGACCTGCACCAGAGAAGCTCCAGGATTTCCAGGATAGACACACCAAGGGACCAGATTCAACAACATCAGAGCAAAATCCAGGGAGCTCCACAAATAACGGACCCAAAGGTTTTTGAGTGTGTGTTTGTGGTTTTGTTTTTTGGTGTGGTGTGTGTGTGTGTGTGTGTGTGTGTGTGTGTGTGTGTGTGTGTGTGTATTTTTTGTTTTTTGTTGTTGGTTTGTTTTTTCCCCTTGTTTTCTTTCTTCTCTTTTTCCTTGTATATCTCTAATTTTTCTCTTTCCTTTGATTTTATTCTACTTTTGTCTATTTTTGTTGTTATTATTAACTTTTCTTATTTTATTTTGTTTTTCTCATTGTTTTTCCCTTTTACTTTTCCTATCTATATCTTAATATACTTATTATTAATACCAGAGGCCCAGTGCACAAATTCGTGCACGGGTGCGGTCCTTCTGGGTGGCCTGCAGGGATCGGGCCGAAACCCGCAGTCCAATGCCGCCTGCAGCTCCTACCTGCTGCTCCCGCTCATCCTGGCCTCACTGTGCCTGCCATGGGCTCCCGCCCAATCAGTCCCAATTGGGAGAGGCTCGCGCTACCACAGCAGCACTTGCCAGCCATGAGCCCTGCATCTGGTGCCCTCCCAAAGGGAGTAGCCTGCGGGATCGGACTGAAGCCAACTCTCCGATATCCCCCGAGGGTTCCCAGATTTCGAGAGGGCGCAAGCCAGGCTGAAGGACCCCACCAGTGCATGATTGGGCCGGGTAGGGACCGCGGGAGGGCTCCAGGACATGTCCGGCCCATTTCTCTCAGCCCCCAGCAGCAAGCTAACCTACTGGTCGGAGCATCTGCCCCCTGGTGGTCAGTACAAGTCATAGCAACTGGTCTACCAGTTGACTGTGTGCCCCCCTGGTGGTCAGTGCATATCATAGCGAGCAGTTGAGCAGCCTTAGCATATTAATAGCATATTACGCTTTGATTGGTTGTTTGGTTGTTCTGCTGTTCAGTCTATTTGCATATTACCCTTTTATTATATAGGATGTTTTAAATACAATATTATTATTTCATTTTTTTCTTTTTTTTAACTTTCAAATACGTAGCAATAATTTTATTTTCTTCAGAATATCTCTACTAAAGATTATCTTCTAGCAGTTGGCTTGTTACCTCATTTATTTTTTTAATTTTGTTTTATTGCTTAAAGTATTACAAAGAGTAGTACATATGTCTCCTTTTTTTTGAGACTCAGTACCGCCCCCTCCCTCCAGCACATGCCCTCACCTCCCTACTGTCTGTGTCCATTGGTTATGCTCATATGCATGCATACAAGTCCTTTGGTTGATCTTATACCCCCTCACCCCCACAACACACACCTTCCCTCATAGGTTGGACAGTCTGTTCGATGCTTCTATGACTCTGGTTCTATTTTGGTTCCTCCGTTTATGTTGTTCATTATATTCCACAAATGAGTGAGATCATGTGATATTTTTCTCTGACTGGCTTATTTTGCTTAGCATAATACTCTCCAGTTTCATCCATGCTGTTGCAAATGGTAAGAATTCCTTCTTTTTTACTGCAGTGTAGTATTCCATAACCTCAAAGGGAAGGTAGGGGAGGGCGAGGTTAAGGGGGAGAGATCAACCAAAGGACTTGTATGCATGCATATAAGCCTAACCAATGGACACAGACACCAGGGGGGTGAGGGCATGAGTGGGGGGATAGGGGAATGGGGCAATTATGGGGGGATAAGGACACATATTTAATACCTTAATCAATAAAGAGAAAAAATATAGATTGCCTGAGGAACATTCTAGAAAGATACATATAAAACACTTTTAATAAATGGTATAACTCAAGTGTAACTCAGATGAATTTTTTCTTTGTGTTTGCTTTTCTTACTTGTCTATAATGATTACATTTAACTTATAAATGGAAAAAAATCTACAAAACCAATGCCCCTTCAAAGTTACAAACCATAGCCTTCACCTATTTTACTCCAATGTAACCCTTATTTGCTCCACACATTTTAAAATAAATAAATAGGGCAGATCACTTGTATATTTATATTCAACAAGCACATCTTGAGCACCTACTATGTTCTAGGTACTATTGAATAAGTGATTTTACTTTTTGTACCTAGATTCTTCTCTCTGCTCCTAAGTGTGATACCCACTCTTCCTCTCACACATAAATCACAACTATTTGTATTTGGTTGTTAAGTCTTATCTCTAATTAATTGAATGTAATTAAGCCCATATTAAAAGATTATCTGGCAATATACTACCAACCCTTGGCATGCCTCAGTGGTTTTAGGCTTAGGAGAATCAATCAAATGTTTCATCAGTCACCACCTCTGTATTGCCCAACTCCTAAAAATAGAGGGCTGCTGGTCTGGAGTGGATTCTTCAAGTTTATTTCAAACAGGGAGGGCCGGATCTCAAAACCTGGACCCTACAGGCCACCACCATCAAGTGAAAATTTCCCCACTTGTTAAATATTCCTTCTCCTGTCTTTCCCCCACCTTCCTTACTCTCTTTCTTTCTGGAGCTCTAATTCCTAATCCTAACCCTCCCTTCTATTATAGGTGTATTAGATGGTGTGATTTTAGAACTTATTCTGACTAAATCTCCTCTTCTCCCTCTAGCCTTTCAGCCATCTATATATATAAAAGCTTAAGCGACCATTGACCATTCTTCCAGTAGCTATGACACACACTGACCACCAGGGGGCAGACGCTCAATGCACAGGATGGAAACATGGAATAGACCAGCGGTTCTCAACCTGTGGGTCATGACCCCTTTGGGGGTCAAACGACCCTTTCACAGGGGTCGCCTAAGACCATCAGAAAACACATATATAATTACATATTGTTTTTGTGATTAATCACTACACTTTAATTATGTTCAATTTGTAACAATGAAAATACATCCTGCATATCAGATATTTACATTATGATTCATAACAGTAGCAAAATTACAGTTATGAAGTAGCAACGAAAATAATTTTATGGTTGGGGGTCACCACAACATGAGGAACTGTATTAAAGGGTCGCAGCATTAGGAAGGTTGAGAACCACTGGAATAGACTGATGAATCTCAAAGGGAAGGGGGGAGGAGGGAGGGCGAGAAAAGATTAAGCAAAGATCTTATATGCATACTAGAGGCCCGGTGCATGGATTCATGCACTGGTGAGGTCCCTCAGCCTGGCCTGCAGGGATCGGGCCGAAACCAAATCTGTGCACCAGGCCTCTAGAGTATGTATAAATCAACAGAACACAATGGGGCTTGATTTTCCACAACCAGGATAACTCTTCCTAGAGGGGATGGGAAACAGCTGCTCACCTGTCCAATGAGATGGAGAAGAGGGTGCTCCAGCAGCAATGAACTGCCAAGGGGTGTGTGGGGGCATGGGTGGGGGGAGAGCAAAACTCTCCTCTCTACTCTCTTTATTGTGAGGCAAGATCCATGTGACTTGGTAACATGAAGGCTAAACTCTTCCTGGTACCATGAAAACAGCACCGGCACTATTTATAAAGACAGGATTAAAAAGTGGTTTTAGAAAATTAAAACTGGCCCTAGCTGGGTGGCTTGGTTGGTTGGAGCTTCCTTCACACACTAAAAGGTTGCTGGTTCCATCCCAGTAGGGTACAGTAGGGAGGCAACTCATTAATGTTTCTCACATCAATGTTTCCCTCTCCCTCTCTCTTCCTCTTTCTCTCTAAAATCATTAAAAACATATTTTAAAAAAAAAGAAAAAACAACACGAAAAAACCCATATCCTCTGGTGAGGATTTTTTAAAAAATAAGACTGAAAATACATAATTTGGCCACATCACCATAATACTGATCAGAGTTTAAAGAAGAATAAATAACATTTAGCAAGACAATTTACTAGCACAGGGGCCAGCACTAATATTAGTGCTGTGCTAGGCAACTGTAATTAGACAAATCAGTTGCGGAGGAAGAATGGATTGTATTTGATGGCAGTAGCCACCGCTGTCCAGGAATGCTGCCTTCCTGTGGTTGCATGAGTGTCATCGCCTGACATTTTTGGTGAATTAGAAGAGCAGTACTTGAACAATCCGATTTGACATGCACCTCTGCGAACCTCCGCAAGAAAACGAGGAAGGTAGCGATTCACAAAGCCCTGAGGTCTAGACGCTGGGTGGTGGCAACGCCAGAGTATGGTCATCACCTCTTCTCAAGAGAAGGGTGTCCACACTGCGCATCAGCGGAATCCCTCTCCAGACTCTGCCCAGAGCCAGGGGCAGCCCTTCCCCCCAGCAGCTTCGGGAACCCAGCTCACCTTCAGGCAACAGCCCACGCTCCAGAAAGGAAGGAAAGAAGAAAGAACCAGTTCACTGAGGCCCACACAAACCCCGCGGGCATTATTGCCCTGCGTTCCCCAAGTCGCCTAGACAACCCAGACCGGCCCCACCCACAGCAACTTAGACCAATCAGGGACAGGCAGAATATGTGAGAGCCTCCCAAAGAAGCTCCGAGGGGGAATCCTGGGGACCTGAAAGCACAACCACGCACCCAAATGACAGCCACCTAGATGGCCAGGAAGACAACTGGCAGAACCTGTACAAAAAGGAGGCAGATAACCAGACTGATCCCAGAAGAGCTAACCAGGATGACCTAAGAGTATCTGGCCAGTCTGAACCCAACGTATTTGGCCAAGCAGACCACAAAGTGTCCAAATACAATAGGCATAGAAGATACGATCAGACTGACCTAAAGCGTCCAACCGTTATAAAGTTGCTGATCATAGAGGAACTAATAAGGTTGACCAAAGAATGTCTGAAAGGAGAAACAGCAGGACATCTCACCACGCTAGTCATGCAGAATCTGAACGGACTAACAGTCAGAAGCCTGTTCGGCCCAAAGGACTAACTTCTGAACACACTGATCGCAGATCATCCACCCATGCTGAGAGAGCTTCTAAACAGACTGAGCGCACATCGTCTGTCTCATCTGAACAAAGAGCCTCTGAACAGACTGGCCACAGAAAGGTTTCTGAACCGATGGATCGCAAGTCTGGCCAATATGATCGAAGGAGTTCTGAACCGATTGACCATATGAAGTCTGGCCAAGATGGCCGAAGGGTTTCTGCACCGATTCAACCCAGAGAGTCTGGCCAAGATGACCAAGCGGCTTATGACCTGATTGACAGCAGAAAGTCTGGTCTGGTTGAACAAAAAACTTATCAACCGGGTGAACATAGATTGTCTGACCCAAGTAGCTACAAATCATCTGTACAGACTCACCACAAAACACATGACCAAATTACTGAACTAGCTGAAGACCAGGCAGCTGAAGACCAAGCTGGTGGCAGCATTCATCATCACCCTAGAGTTATCATGCCTTTCTATCGTGAGTATGAAAAGGTGGATGATGAAGATGATGACATAGATGACAACCAGCCTGACCTTGGAGAAAGTGATGAGTATGATGACAATATACATACCAGCAAGAAGGGCAGAGAGGTTGACTATACATTAGATTCTAAACAAAAAGATTTCAGAGATCCCAAGGATTCAGATATAAATAAATATAAAAATGATGAATTTATGAAAGCATTCAACGCATTTGATACCAAGGCCACCGGTAATTTACAACCAAAAACCCACAACTTTTCCCCAAGATTCCCTGCCATCTCATCTAACTTGAACTATATCATCGGTCAAGAAAATGGTCAAATCATAGTAACCAAGCCTGTAGGTTAAAGGGGCATTTGATACCCACCTGGGAGGTTGGAAACCAAGCTAGGGGCCTATAATGGTGGTATGGAGGGCGGAGGTTGGGCACAGGTTGAATCAAGGATGAGAAATAAACCCACATGCTATGATATGTGTGACCTATAAGATTCAGGAAGGACAGGAGAAGGATAAGATATTTAGAGATGAGTTTCTTTCTCTGCTACCCTAGGGCCATTCAGGAATGATCAATGAACCAGCATTTGGGAGGCCTGGGTTTCAAATCCTGGTTCTGCTGCTAATTCTATAACACTAAGTCATTTCCCCTCTCTAGGTTTCTACCAAAGAAAAGGAATTGGGAGTAAACTGGAGATCCCTATGAAGGGAAAAATAGTTGAAGTAGATTGGAGAAGCCTAAGGTACCTCCCAGGACTTGAGATATATTATATTGCCTGGAGGATCAGCTAGATCTCTCATAATAATGTGTCTTTTTTTCCAACTCCTGGTGTTTAGATCCCATCATCACCAGATTCCACTGATAACAGCAAAAATAAGAACTTCCTTGGGCTTTTTGATTTATTAAAGACTCTTTGGTGGGGGGATATTTCCATTTTAGGATGATACTTCAGGATACCAAAAAGGAAGGAGTTCTATTCAATACCAAAAGAGGCGATTCCCTTCTCTCGTATATCAAGATCCTTATCAAATTTCACTACAATACATGGAGAAACACCACATTCTGCAAATATTCCAGGTAAACTTCTCATTCCCTTTCTTTAATTGTGATTTTTCTAGTAATTATAATGTAAAAAACAAATTTTGACCTGGCTTTCATGTGGTATAAGAAAGAGCCTTTGATAATACAAAGGATATAATCTCATTGAGAAGTCAGTAAGGTGTATTTTTTAAAAAGTAGTAAATGATAAACACCAAATGAGTGATACTTACCATGTATGAAGCCATTCAGGAGGATTGGGTAGATTGGTTGATAGGAAAAAAAAACTTGGCAAAGAGTTAAAAGTTTGAGCCAGACTAGGAAGGAAGAAAAAAATATTGGCCATTGAAAAGGAAAGATAAAAGCTTTCCAGGCATCATATAATACTTTGAAAAGATAACCAACCTGCGACCATCTAAGAAACCACATTGTTTGGCGGGGGGCGGGGGGAGGGGGGCCCTGCAGAGCATGAGTAGTTAAGAGTTGCTTCTAATTCTAAAAATTTTGAGCTGTATTGACCTAAGGATTTGGGGCTGAAACTTCTTTAAAGTATAACATCCTTGCCCAGCCGGTGTGGCTGAGTGGATTGAGTATTGTCCCATGCACCAAGAGGTTGCTGGTTTGATTCCCAGTCAGGGCATATATTCTAGGGTTGTAGATTCTATCCCCAGTAGGGGTCATGCAGGAGGCAGCTGATTGATGTTTCCATCTTCTCTCCCTCTCCCTCTTCTCTCTCTAAAAAATCAAGATAAACATTTATTTTTTAAAGTATAACATCCTTGGCCAATATAGAATTACAAGAAATTATCACATTTATAAAATGTTTACTGTTTGGTGGGTTGTTTTTGTTTACCTGACATGTTTATTTTTATGTTAATATTATTACCCAGCAAAGTACATATCTATAATAATAAAAGCATAATATACTAATTAGACTGGATGACCTTCCGGATGAAGCTGGGGCTGCTGGGGTCCCAGGTGCCTGCTGGCAGCCAGAGGGAAACCCGGGTCCCAGGTGCTGGAAAGAAGGCCTACTCTTGCACAAATTTCGTGCATCTGGCTTCTAGTTCATATATAATATGTGAGTACATGAAGTAACTTTGTGGTTAGAAAGGTGTAAAATAAGAATGACCCACCTCAAATGAAAACATTTAAACTTAAATTTAAAGAAATAGGGTATAGAACAGTGGTTCTCAACCTTCTGGCCCTTTAAATACAATTCCTCATGTTGTGACCCAACCATAAAATTATTTTCATTGCTACTTCATAACTGTAATGTTGCTACTGTTATGAATTGTAATGTAAATATCTGATATGCAGAATGGTCTTAGGCGACCCCTGTGAAAGGGTCGTTCCACCGCCAAAGGGGTCGCGACCCACAGGTTGAGAACCACTGGTATAGAAGAAAGATCACAAACTGCAAATTTAGCTCAAGGCTCCAATCTAACTTAGCCATTTTTCATCTTTGTTATTTGGAAAAAACTACATAAACTTCTGTGAATCTTAGTTTCCTCATATAAAATAGGGATAAGTGATACTTCATTAACTCTGCTCTATGCCTTTTCTTTGTTAAGATATTGTTTTGTGGGAGAGCACTTTCTGCCTTTAATCAAAGAACAACTAATTACTAAACTGAAGGAAGTAAAATTCTAATCATTCTATAAATAATTTCCTTCATCTATTAAGTAAAAATAATGCTTATGCATTCAACATTGTTATAAGAAAAATTAGTTATCAAATAATTATTTAATAAAAACATATATGAAATATACTAGAGACCTGGTGCACAAAAATTTGTGCACTCAGAGGGGTCCCTTAACCCCACCTATGCCCTCTTGCAGTCTGGGACTCCTTGGAGGATGTCCACCTGCTGGCTTAGGCCCGCTCCCTGGGGGATCGGGTCCAAGCTGGCAGTCAGACATCCCTCTGGCAGCCCGGCAGCCCTCAGGGGATGTCCACTTACCAGCAGGAAGCAGACCTAAGCTGCAGTCGGACATCCTTAGTGCTGCAGAGGAGGCGGGAGAGGCTTCCGCCACCACCGCTGTGCTGGCAGCCATAAGCCTGGCTTGTGGCTAAGCAGAGCTCCCCCTGTGGGAGCGCACTGACCACCAGGGGGAAGTTCCTGCATTGAGCATTTGCCCCCTGGTGGTCAGTGTGTGTCATAGTGACCAATCATTCCCAGTCGTTCTGCTGTTAGGGTCAGTTTGCATATTACCCTTTTATTATATAGGATAATTGGTGTAAATACATTAACCAGACCATGACTATCTTATAACCAAAATTTGCCCCATTGTTATTTCTTACAAATGATAATTGTTTATTATAACTTGGAGGGTTATTCAACAACAAAAAAGTATGTTAGTGAATCTCTGAAGTTTTATATATGCTTCCTCATTTATTATTAGAAACAATGAACATCATTTTAACCTTTTAGAATCAAAGGCCTCTAAAGGAAGTCTCTATGTAAAATCATAATATTTTAAAATTTTATTCAAAGTACTTTTTTCTGATAATTCTTCAAAGCAAATAATGCTAATTTCTCAGTCTATCAAAATCACAGTTCTCAAAACTAAAACTTTCTCACTACCTCTTCGATCTTGGAAACTAGAGAAATATCCATTGATACTTATTACTAAAACTAGAGGCCCAGTGCACAAAATTCATGCATTTAGTGGTGTCCCTCAGCCCAGCATGTACCTTCTTGCAGTCTGGGAGCCCTCAGGGGATGTCTGACTGCTGGCTTAGGCCCACTCCCCTTAGGCCCTGGGAGTGGGCCTAAGCCGGCAGTCAGACATTTTTAGCACTGCTGCGGAGATGGGAGAGGCTCCCATCACCACCACTGCACTTGCCAGCTGTGAGTCCGGCTTCTGGCTGAGCAGTGTTCCCCCTGTGGGAGCGCGCTGACCTCCAGGGGGAAGCTCCTGAGTTGAGTGTCTGTCCCCTGGTGGTCAGTGTGCACCATAGCAACCAGTTGTTCTGTCAGTTGGCCAATTTGCATATTATCCTTTTATTATATAGGATTTTATTCCTCCAAATTTTACCTTAGTTTACCTAATTTTATTAGTACTAAGAAAATAATTTGTCACTTTATAGAGACATATGAATTTTTTTTAAATGGTATGTACATGTTAGTACAAAAGATTGCTTCAGATATAACCTGATCATATAACTTTAGCTCAGAACCATAATGTGATGTCTTATGCTCTCTCAGCAGATCACTGAAAACTTAGTTTATGAAAAGCCAGAGGACCCCCTGAGTTTTATGCTGAGCCAGGTATGCAATAGGAGAAAAAGAGAAATCTCTTTATTATAAATAAAGCACACATACAAGTGTATAAAACAAAACATGCACAACTCAGTGAATTATCATGAAATGAGCAAACCTATAACTACCATTTCAGTTAAAAAAATTAAAACATTTCCAACATCCCAGAAGCTTCCTTCCTTTCTCTCAGTTATTATTCTTTATGAGTTGCTATTATTATGACTCTTTTGATATTATCTTCCTCCCTTCTTTTTATAATTTTACCACTAAACAAAAATCATGAAAACTTTGTTTAGTTTTTTCAACTTTATATACTGGGAACCATATAGAGGTATTCATTTGTTTCTAGTTTCTTTTGCTCAAAATTATGTCTGTGAGATTAATACATACTGTTGTGTGTAACTATAGTTGATTTTCATGCTATAGAGCAGGGGTCCTCAAACTACAGCCCACGAGCCACATGCAAATACAAATATTGTATTTGTTCCTGTTTTGTTTTTTTACTTCAAAATAAGACATGTGCAGTGTGCATAGGAATTTGTTCATAGTTTTTTTTAAAACTATAGTCCGGCCCTCCAACGGTCTGAGGGACAGTGAACTGGCCCCCTGTTTAAAAAGTTTGAGGACCCCTGCTGTATAGTATTCATTGTATGAAATGCCACAATTTATTCATTCTATGATGGATGTGAACATCTAGGTTATTTCCAGCTTGTAACAATTAGAAAATTTTTTCCTATGAAGCTTTGTGTACATGTCTCTTAGTGCACATATACTAGTACACACATTTCTCTTGAGTACATACCCTGTGAGTGATTGCTGGATTATAACATATGTGCTTGCTCGGCTCTAGTATATTATTTCAAAAATTTTCCAGCCCTAGCTGGTCTGGCTCAGTAGATAGAGTGTCAGCCTGCAGACTGAAAGATCCCAGGTTCGATTCCAGTCAAGGGCATATGCCCAGGTTGCGGGCTCGATCCAAAGTAAGAGGTGTGTAAGAGGCAGCCAATCAATGATTCTCATCTTTGATGTTTCTATCTCTCTCTCTCTCCCTTTCTCTCTGAAATCAATTTAAAAAATTTTAAAAAAAAATTTCCAAAGTATTTGTACCAATTCATACTCGCAACAGAAGTGTATATTAGAGTTCCAGTTGTTTTGCATCCTTGCCTAGACAATAAGACTATATCCAACAGTTAGTATTATCAATCTTTTTAGCATTAGCCATTTTTATGGGTGGTTAGTAATAAATTATTGTAGTTTCCAGTTGTTTGTTCCTGATTACTAAAATTGTTGCATGTATTTTAATTTGTTTATTAGCCATGTGGAAGTATTTCTTTTCCCATTGTATCAATAGTCTTTTTATTTTTATTTTAACTCATTTGTTACTGTTTCTGTATATTCTGGTTGTGAACTCTTTGTTGATTGTGTTTGTGACAAGTCTTATCTCACTCTCTGCCTTCCCTTTTTATTTCTTACAGGTATTTTTTATAAACAGAAATTCTTAATTTTGATATAGTCAAATTTTAACAATCACTTTATTTATGATTAGTACTACTGGTGTTCTGTCATAGAAGTCTCTCCTTTGCCAAAGCTCCTAACTATAGTCCCCTATATTATCTTGCAGAAATTTGTTAGTGGGGTTTTCTTAGGGAAGGTGTTAAATTTTGTTTGTTGGTTGACATTTACATTAATATCCAATCAACCTGCAATTGATTTTGTACAGGATGTGAGGTGGTGGTGTTTCATTTTCCCAAGTAAACATCTAATTGACCAAACATCTTTTGTAAAACAAACAAAAAACCCATACCTTTCACACTGCTCTTTATTTGGTATATTTGTCTATTCTTGTTCCACAAGACTATCTTAATTAGTATGCCTTACAATAAGTCTTAATATCTGTCAGAGTTAAGTTCTCATATCTTATTGTTTAAAATACCTTGGATGTTTTTAGGTGCATGTCCATATCAGTATTTATTTTTTTATTTTTTTATATATTTTTATTGATTTCAGAGAGGAAGGGAGAGGGAGAGAGAGATAGAAAATCAATGATGAGAGAATCATTGATCGGTTGCCTCCGGCACAACCCCTACTGTGGATGGAGCCTACAACCCTGGCATGTGCCCTTGACCGGAATCAAACCCGGGACCCTTCAGTCCACAGGCTGATGCTCTATCCACTGAGCAAAACTTGCTAGGGCTCCATTTCAGAATTTAGAATTAGTTGTCAAGTTATAGAAATGAAAGAACAGGACAAAACTCCAGAAAAAAAGAACTAAACAAAATGGAGACAAGCATCTATCTGATAAAGAGTGCAAATGAACTTGATAGAAGAAAAGATATAGTGAGAACTTCAACAAAAAGACAGAAAACACTAAAAAGGCTATAGAAAACATAAAAAGAACCCATCAGAATGGAAGAATACAATAAAGAATACACTAGATGGAATCAACAATAGATTAGATAAGCAAATAATTGAACCATCGATCTGGAAAACAATGTAATGGAAAACACCCAACTGGATCAGCAAAAAGAAACAATTTTTTAAAATTAGAATAGTATTTTTTAAAACTATGGGACAGCATCAGGCATAACAACATTTACATCATAGGAGTCCCAGAGGAAAAGAGAAAGAAAAAGGGATTGAAAACCTATTTGAAGAAATAATGACTGAAAACTTCCCTAACTTGGCAAGTGAAATAGACGTACAAGTCCAGAAAGCACAGAGATCCCAAACAAGATGAATCCAAAGGCACCCACACCAAGACACATCACAATTAAATGTCAAAAGTTAAAGTCAAAAAGAGAATTTTAAAAGCAGAAATTGAAAAATCAGTATGTACAAGGAAGTACCCATAAGACTATCAGAAAACCTTTCAATAGAAACTTTGTGCCCAGAAGGGACTGGCAAGAAATATTCAATGATAAAAGGCAAAAACCTAGAATGGGGCTAAGGTAAATGGTAAAATTTAGCAAAAGATAGGAGATAATGTAGACTATCACCCATTTTAAATGTTTGCAAAGAAATATATTTTAAATATGGAAAGAAATATAACAATGCTGGTTAATTAGACAGTAGACCCAAAGCCCTTATATTTGATGCATTTTGATATATGGTTTCATAATTCTGTCTGTTTAAATGTGTACTATTATTTCTTTTTCTTGATTTCATTTAGTTATATACATTCCTGATCATCTGATTATTTATTTTCCTTATAAAAATACATCATCAAAATAAAAAAATGGTTGAGGTCAAAAGAAGGAAGGAAGGAAGGAAGGAAGGAAGGAAGGAAGGAAGGAAGGAAGCTACAACCAAGATTACTCTACCAAACAAGCTTATCATTCAGTATCCAAGGAGAGATAGTTTCCCAGACAAGCAATAAGGAAAAAAGTTCATCACCATTAAACCAGCTTTACAAGAAATGTTAGAGGGATTTTCAGTAGAAAGAAAATACCAAAAATAGAAATAAGAATATATAGGGCCCTGGCCTGTGTTGCTCAGTAGTAGAGCATTGGCCCACAAACTGAAGGGTTGCAGGTTCTATTTACCACCTCCGTTTGGGGCATGTGTGGGAGGCAACCAATCAATGTGATGTGTCTCTCTCCTCTCTCTTTCTCTCTCTCTCTCTCTCTCTCTCTCTCTCTCTCTCTCTCTCTCTCTCTTTCCCTCTTCCACTCTCTAAAAAATAAATGGAAAAATATCATCAGGTGAGGATTAACAAAAAAATATATATGAAAGAAAAAATTCTCACTGACAAAAGCAAATAGTAATAGCAGTTGATCAAACAATTTTAAAGTTAGTACAAAGATTAAAAGACAAAAATAGGAAGATCTTGTGTAAATACAACAATAGTTAAGGGGTACACAAATACACACCAAAAAAGAGAGAAAAATGACAAAAAATAAACATTGAGGAGAAGAGTAAAAACATGTAGTGATTTTACATGGAGACTAAATAGCATGCTATTAAACAATGACTGGGTTACCAGAGAGATCAAAGAAGAAATAAAAAACATCATGGCAACAAACAACAATGAAAACACAACAATCCAAAACCTATGGGACATAGCGAAAGCAGTCTTGAGACGGAAGTTCATAGCTCTACAAGCCTACTGCAA